TCGTTTTTGACCCACTTATGGAAGAGTGTGGTCCAGTCACTCGTGCATCTAAGGGTTAAATAAAGTTTTCATTGAGTACATTTTCATTTGATACCGCTTCCATGATTATACCTTAAGCGTAAGTAAATACCGTTTTTCTTCTATTTTTACTCACATATCCATCTTTGCTTAACTGACTAGACTAATACGTCACTGAAGCTCTACTTTATGTGTAGCTCCTGCTTCCTGCTTTATGCTCACTGACCAATGAGCAGTGTATGTAACAATGTTTTGTTCTGATGCTCATATTGTATTTTTTACGTAATGTTACTTTTTACATGTATTACAATTCAATGTGTGATGCTGATTTTAAATGATGTGGGTATTCATGATTGGTTTAAGGAATTAACTTGGCGAGTTCAATGGACGTTTGGTAATGGGCTAGGAAAAGCACAGTGTTAATAATATTAACAAAAGCTCTGCTCTATTGAAGTATTTCATAACAGTGAGCCAGCATGCACAATAAATGGAGTCATCATTCTTTTACTATTTACATCTGTGCTTGTTTTACTGTGTCAAATGAATGGCAATGTAATACTTAGTGGTTCCACAACTGAATTTCAGCCACTTATTTAGAATTGGAGAAAAATATATTTTGGAACATGCCTTTGTCTGAGTGTTCCAACAAAGGAATGAAGTGCATCTTTATATAATATAGCCATCTATAAATATGGAACAACACTAGCAGTCAGAAAGCAAGTCCATGAGCTGCTTTTGGAAAGAGTAAAAATACCAGAAACAAAAAAAACAAACAGATGAAGCATTGTTATTTTAGTTGAAAATGTTTTATTCAAGCAAAAGGCATTTAGGGAGAGTAGGATGGCACAAATGTACTCAAATTACTGGTGTAGAGGAGATGGTGACCACACATCAGTGATAAAATCCAGGACTGTTTCAGCTTGTCAAAATACTTCACAATTTCCTTAATAGATTTATCACTCAAAAAAAGAGCCCATCTTTATTCATTTGAGCGACCATAGTATCAACAATGCACCGTGAAAGCAAAAATAACCACCATGTCCTTGCAGTAATGCAATTCATGAGTGAATATTAAAATGCATGTATTTGAATATGAAGAAGACAGCAGCAGGGAAGGCAATCATCCAGTGTGCCAAGTCTATCTCTACACTCAAACACGCACGATGCTCAGCAGCCGTGAACCCAGAGACAACAAACACCTACAGCCTCCCTAAGATTAGTAAAAAAAAAGAAGCTAATGTTAGAGGCATAATAAAATTAAAATATCACACGTGAGAAGAACTCTGCCTTGATCAGGTGGAATAAAGGCCTGTGTGACTAAACAGAAGACTTAATTAAAACGTTAATTAGCTCAGCTAGAAAAGCAAGCAGCAGGTTTGTACAGTTGGAGCATTGAGAAGGCACTACTAGTTTACTCACTGCTCTATGATCAGTGAGGCATGGCTGTATTTTGGCTGTTCTCCATTGGAGAAACCTATTAAGGCATCTGTCTAACACTAAATGTTCCTAAGTGTTGTGCTTGAATATATAACAAAGGCAACTTCATGGCACCTGATTGATACCATTTGCAACTCTCAAACCAGTGTAGCACTTTTTAACTTCATGGCATGGTCTCTTGCCAAGCCGTGAGTCTTAACATATAGGCACTTATCTTAACGCAAGCTCATACTAGTTCATTGTTACCGAGTCCTTTGTGAAAGGAAGATGGACAGCTATGATCAGGTGGTTCAACAGTGTGTTACTGGTTAGCTTATCTGCTATCGGGTGACCAATGAAATTCATCTTTATTCAATCCAGAATCAAACGTCTTACACATAGACATTTTTTAACAGTTAACCATGTGCATAAATAAAACAAGGCAAACTCATCCCATCATTCCCAGGTTGCCTGAGACGTCTAACTATAATGGAAGGAGTTTCTGTCTGAATGTCTGTCAACTTTCTCAACAACCGTTCATACAATTGACTTCACACTTGGAAGGTATATTGCTGGGGACAGAAGGGAAGGATTATATTAGTGGTGTGTAATGTACACACTGTGTAGTGTTTGAAACAGCCGGCTATCTTTTCTCATCCATATTTGTTTGAACATTTGCAGCTAAATGAAGCATTTACTCGAGCATTGCTCGGGGATGAAAGTGTATCACGGAGGGTGTGATGCCCAGGAGCGTACGCCACACAGAGATGAGTGTGAAGCTTTTTGAATGAGCGGTTCTTGAGAAGGATGAAAGCAGCAATACGGGACACCAAGCTATCGGCACGTTTAGAAGAGGCACCGCACTAAGTCAAAAGTGACAGTATAGTACAATTCTTTGTTTAAAAATTAGGAGAAGATTGGAAATGTTGGCATCTGAAAAGTACAAATGTGTATGTGTTTGAGAGGGATCATATATTCAATGATACGCAGGGTTACAATACAAACCGATACACAGAACAGTATATCCTCAAAGGCACTTCTCTTAGTCTGGCACATACACAAATCGATGGCTATTAATCAAACATAAAAAAGTAAATATAAGTTGAGGAGAGTTTACAATCGCAATTTTCAATTCTAGTCCTGAGTTTGGAGTATGTGTGTGCTTTTGTATACGTTTGAAGATTGTTTATTTATTCTTTTTTCCATAGGTTCATGCAGTTCAAGTTGAATGATTGACCTTTTTCTATATATATATGTTTCTGTTTTCTTTGGCAAGTGGCAAAGAATTCCATTAGAAGTGTAAAGATGTCTGGTATGTCGTAGTAATGCAGGGTTAAACTCTGGTATGGTGACATTCACTTACTCAGGCACATTTGCAAACACACACACACCCATCCACTCACACACACACACCAACACACACACAAACACACACACACTGAGGGCAAACCAGGACAAGGAACGAAGACCTCCTGCCAGGAGAAAACTGGAGCTCAGTTGCCAGTAATGGCATGTTGTCTTCCTCTGAGAGATTAAATATGAACGTTGCTCCTCTCCTCTTCTTCATTGTATTCTCCACTCCTCCTCCTGTTGTCGTTTTTGTTGTGATTTTAGGAGTAATTCCAAACTGTGAATGAAGGAGGTAAAGGATTTCAGATGAAAGACTTGGAAGAGGATATGTTTATTAACCAAGGAATGTAATGGCAGAAACTACAAAAGTATATAGTCTATATATATCTATCTATCTATCTACACACTTTTAATAGATTTCAATATCAACAACCAAGTTCCAATTGAAATCTTAGTAGAGTAATTACAACTCTGGCAACTCATTGGAAATCACAGGGATTAAATAATACAACCCTGGCGAAGAACATTACCACAGGTTTGATACTCACTAATAATGATGATGATGATGATCACTATGACAGCTATCAGGATGGCCCACATCTGCAAGAGGTAAGGGTTCAGCATAGTCAGTGCCACACACATGAACTGGGATTAAGATGTCTATTCATTTGCAGATTAAATAACAATCGAACTTTCCTTTAACAATATTATTTTAACTATTTTGTGTGTGAAATTGAGCATGAATACTTTTGTATCTGGCAAAACAGAAAACATTGTAATTCCATTTGTTTGTTTGATCACTAAACTGTGTCTAGGCACCTTGCAGTTCTTCCACCAGTACTTCCTCTTCAGCTTGGCAGCACTGGTTTCAAACTGGGAGGCTCCGGCCTGCAGGGCGTCGGCTCTGTCGTCCAGTTCAGACAGCTTCTGGTCCCGCTCCAACACTTTGTCCACATTGACACGCATAATATCCACCACCTACACACACACACACACACACACACACACACACACACACACACACACACACACACACACACACACACACACACACACACACACACACACACACACACACACACACACACACACACACACACACACACACACCAATTGATATCAGTACTTTTTCTAATGTCTCTTGGTGTAATTGATGTAGGGTGATCCTGACTAGACACCATTAAAGATTGACCAAACACTGATCCACCTTGTTATTTTACAATTATGAGAATATATTCCAAGTGCATCCTAAGCAGAATGGTGACATTATTGCTGTAAGTGGTGAGTAACCTCTGAAACCACAAATCAAGATAAACAACACATTACCATAAAAGTTTTTTAAAAAAAAAGATATTAAAAACCTTCTGCTAAATAAAATAATATGCCTAATAAAAATAAATAAACAAAGCCAGGCAGATGTGAATGCACACACACAAACAGTCTTGCAGACTACACATAACCCAAATGTTCCACTGATCCACAAACCTCACAACTGCCCCTCCTTTCAGACAGAGAGGCGGGGCGGAGAGAAGTGTGTTTGGCCATGTGGGTGTTGCGTAACCGTGGCACTCAGAATGATTCCATAAACCCCGGGCAGCCAATCGGAGGCTTTCTGTGACGTGCTTATTTTAAATCACAGGGTAGGTGGGGTGAAAAAAATTAAGAGGGACTGAGAAATGGAACTGTAAAGCTGATTAACAATGGAAACACAGAAAGAGTGTGATTTAGCAGCCATTTCTTTCCTGGTAGCCTCACTGGCATGTTTTTTGAATAAAAGATGTATCTGGCATGTGAGGGGACATGTGAAGGCGGAGTGGCAGAGAGCACTGATTCCAAATTGTGATGATTCATAACGCCGTTGCCAAGGGTTATGCAAGTATCCAGACAGACATTATGGAAGATGGCAGTTACATAGCGGCTGAAGATGGAGATAACAACACTTGGCTAGGTGAGGAAAATGAAGCACACTGTGTATAACTGCCTCTGATGTGTCCCAAGGCTCTATAGGTAACATTTGGTTCTATCTGACATCGTGAATCTGAAATTGAAAATCTCTAATTTGGAAGAGTAACATGGTCTCTGATGTTTGAGCTTTCCTTCAAAAATAATAAACTGTAATCAAGAGTTTGCGTACAACTAATAATACAACATACTTCAATTGAAACTATTTGGCGTTATCATCCTTAACAACCAGTGTCAAAATGTAATAGTGGAGCTTTAACTGGTTCTGGTATACCAGCAATCAGAGAGGTCTCATACCTCGTCCACCTGGGCCTGGGTCTGCTGTAGGCGCCTGTTGCCTGGCGCGGCGCCAGCACCATCCGGACCGGCTGCTGACCTGATGAGATGAGGACAAATTAAGAGTAGATATTAGCCTTCTAGATTTTACAGAATTGAAAATTAAAAATGCATTAAACTGTTCAGGCACATATGGATAACAGCAGGGGATAAGTGAAGCAAACAGCCTAACCATAATTGCAAAAAAAGTATTCTTATCCAAAGACAACATGTGACTTATATTTCTGAATCAGTCAAATTCATTTAAAATATTGTACAATTCTAGATAAATGAACTGATATCACTTTTTTTGTTAATTTATAATTCAATGTATTTACAGGCCGTTTCCCAATGTCGAGTAAACCTGCTGCAGAGCCACTATTTCAAGTACCGTAATTTTCGGACCATAAGCCGCGCCTTTTCCCCATTTTTCGACGCTGCGGTTTATACAACGGTGCGGCTAATCTATGGATTTTTACAGCTAATGATCTACAGCAGTGGTTTTCAACCAGTG